TACATTACTTACTACTTAAAGGATTTTTACTTTTTACTGAAGGATTAAAGGTATTTTTCATTATACCATATAAACTATCAGTGTATTGCGATACTTTCCCGCTATATCGATGCATCAGATGGTGAAATATGTATTGCATCCTGATATATTGGAATTTATTAATTCATTACGATGCATACATCGAGGACAGGGCAGATCGCGATGTATTGATGCATCGATGAATCGTTACACCTCTATCAAACAGATTTACTTCGGCCGAGTATTGTTTTAAAAGATACTTCTTGTTTCAGTTATGTGTAGTCAAAGGTTAATAACTTAATACTTTGAAAGATTTTACTATATCTGTATGTAATAAAGGTAATGTAGTAAAATTGTAGGGATTTTAATGCCCTAGCCTAGCATATTGAATCAAAGTGCTGTAAGCTCTGTGGTATTTTCTGATCTTTGCAATCTAAATAGTACTGTATATCTGTATGTGTTTTCCTGTATAAGTTTATTTTTATGTACTATAAGTCCTCTTGCAGGGCACCAGAGTTTGATAATTTTGCATAACTAGAGTTGCATCAAAAATAATTCATGTTCATTTTTTATGATAGCCACACTTTATCCTTGCATATCGTGGCTATTTCCTTAACAAAGACACTAAAAAAGAGAATTAAAAAAATGTTGACTCGACTGGGATTTGAACTCTGGACCTCTCACACACCAAGCGAGCGCGTTACCCCTGCACCACGGAGAAGTTCTAAGAAAAAGGCTGAATGAAATCAAGTCATTGTAAATTTAGAATTTCCATTGCATTTCGGGTTTTTAAAGCAGCACAGGATGAATAAAATCAAGTCATTCTTTATTTAGAATTTCCATTGCACTTCCGGTTAGGGTAATTTCGAGGTATTTTGTTCAGGGTAAACCTGTTGTTTAAAATTGAAGTAAATAATTTAGCAAAAATCTTCTCGCCCAAACAGTCCAACATGTAGAAACTATATATTTAACTACTCAGCAGTCAGATTTATTTGTGTTGTATTCGGTAATCGACATTGCTAAAAATAGCATTTTCATTGATTAACATCATATTCATCCGCGTAATTTGTGCGTGTGCATTTATTGACAATTCTATAAGCCAACGCTACTTTTAAAGTTTGAATGTGTAGTAATTTGTTGGACACTTGTAACAAAAAATTGTTCTTTCTTTTAAATTGCTGGTTTTTAAGCAGTTTTGAGTGAGAACTAATTTGCGTTGTTAGGTCTGTTAGGAAATTTTGTGTTAGACCGTGGATGTTAGCTATGTATTATCTGATCTGCGATCAGAAAATACAAAAATCTAAAGATTCATAATATGTCAAACCATACAGTAAAGTAAAGCCATTTTGACAAGTTGGATAATTTTTCTAAATTTTAAAGTTCTGCTTGTTTTATTGGTTTCAAACTATTCACCTAAATTTTTTTATTAAGACAAAACATTTGATTCTGACCAAAGTTCAATTTTTTCCCCTTGTCATTTTTGTAAAATAGGTTAATATGGTTAGCCAAATTTAGGCAAGTTGGATATAACATAAGTTTTTACAGCATATCGTTGGCTACGTAACATACTACAATGTAAATACTTGCCTAGAGTAGAGGCTACCAATACAAAGCTCATGGGTCTTGCAAGTTACATAAACATGCCACTGTGGCATCAATTTTCCTTAGTTATCTCCCCTTTATGCATTTTTAAAGTTTTTTCAATATTTTTTCAGCATGTTGCACAGATGGCAAAATCAGTTGTCCTGATTAAATTACAAGGTTGTCCCACAGCCTGCATGGACAAGTAGAAATTTTCAATAATTTACTATATAAATATCATATATGAAATGCTTCAGATAAAAACGGACAAGTAAGTCAAAATCAGATTTTGCCAGCCCTGAATAAGTAACCCCTTAACTTTACACTTACAAGTTATAAGTTATATTTAGGTGTTCAAAGGATCTTGACATTCAATGTCGAATTGTATAACTAACTGTATTAATGAAATGATTTAACCTACATATAGACAGGATTAATCATATAGGGCTGTGGAACATTAATTTTTATAATTTGATAACTGATAAATACTTATCATTAATCATGTAAAATTTTCTGATTACTTCAGGGACTCCTCAAAGGTATTTTGACATGAAAGGACTGGAATTTTTTTTTTTGAGATTTGTATTCCTTTTGATGTACAGGTCTACACAAGTCACTTTTGTGCAAAATTTCAAATCATTTGTTCATTCTGTTTATCTAGAAATAAGTAATGATTTTAATTGTGCAAAATGCCGTAAAAAATGAACAGCATTAAAGGCTTTTAACTTAATCAGGCAAAGTATTCAGTTGTGCAAAAGGTGTATAATTTGTAATTTAATTCTGAGTATATTTTTGTGCCCCCACTTTGGGGGGGGGGGGGCATTTAAATTTACCCTTGTCCATCCATCCATCCTTCCGTCTGTCTGTCTGTTCTCATTTTGTTTTGCACATACAGTTGACTCTCGTTATCTCGAAGTCATCGGGACCGTCCAAAATAAATCGAGATAACGAAATGTCGAGATAAACATATTGGGTTTGAATAAGGCAGAAACTAATTTTTACAAAAGACATGTGCATACCTTATGTCAAATAAACTATGATATCCCCATGTCTTGTTTTCATAAGCCTAGTCAATATTAAAAAAAGTAACATAAGCGGATGTTTACCAGCGGAAATAAGGGCGTCTGTGATAAAAACACGTAGTGAGGTTTACTCAGTAATACACTAATATAGTGAAAACATTGTTTTCAGGGTGGTTGATCTGGATATCCTCCCGGGTTATTTATCGGGTCTTTCTCGAGATTGTTCGACTGCTGATGGATTTGGTGGTGATGTTGTGAAATATTATTGCAACGATAGCATTTCTATTAATGTTTCACTATTTCATTTACATTTAAAGTCATAATGAATTAATACAGTGTTCGAATATTTATAAAGAACGTAAAATTCACTCATTTTACACATAGGTCAATCATCACACTAAATAGATTATTTTTTTATAAAAAACAGCTTAACTTGTTACAAACATAATCATCATTATGACACGGGCTATTGAGCAATTATTGTCTAGTTTGTGTTTTTCACACGTCTGAAGGAACAGACGAAAGAAAATTATTAGTCAAGATAAGCAAAGGATAATAGTGTGAAAATAACTGTTGGGGCTGAAATTTTACATCGAGATACTGAAAATAGCGAAATAAAATTATCGAGATAAACAAATATTTCCAATATAGATAAAGAAGGAAGAAAATCGGGACTTTCAAAATTTCATCGATATTACGAAATATCAAGAAAAGCCATGTCGAGATAACGATAGTTGACTGTAACTCAAAAAGTTTTTGACCTAGAGTCATGAAACTTAATAGGAATGTTGATCAGCATGTGTAGTTGTGCACTTGTGTATTTTCATTTGGATTTATTTAGTATTTGTAGAGTTACTGTCTTTGCTTGTCTTTGCTTTGAACTTGTGTCACATGTAGGTCAAAAGTATTTGACATAGGGTCATCAAACTTTACAGGAATGTTGATCAGCATGTGAAGTTTTGCATCTGGGGTTTTGCTTGTGAATCAATATGTTTTGTCAGAATTATTGCCCTTGACTAAGTGAAAATTTGCAACGTATATTTGCAACTTGGATTTCTCTTGTGTATTTATCCAGTATTTGTAGAGTTATTGCCCTTGACTTAGTAAAAACTGTTTCATTATGTTCCCATGTTGAGAACTAAAGTAAATAAATCGAGAGAGAAAAATGCGAAGACTGACTTGGACCCGAAACGGAGATCTTTGGAACAATGTTCCTCAGCCCTAATAAGAATAGACTGTCAGAACTACCCAGCCACATTACACATTTTCACCCCACTTGGTAAACAATTCTATATGGTGACACTTGTCTCAAGTTTGTTTTGCATGAATATGCTTAGAAAATAATGTAAAAATAAATCAACTTATTGATTTCCAGCGTCAATATTTTTCCAACTAGCTTCAGGGTAACAAGTTATCCTGTTACAGTGATTATATTACCAGTTCAGTGTATTTTGTCAATCATCTGTTGTATTCTGAAGTAATTTATCAGACTCTTTTCCTATTGCTTGAATTTATGCTTGAAAGCATGGTAAGAAATACAATATTGACTATTTCTCAATATGAAATTTATCATTTGATTTTTATTAAGGATTACAGACCCTAATGAATATCCATGGAAGAGGACATATTGAAAATTTTATCGAAAAGTGACATCATAGTGGAAAACAGCCTCTTACATAACAAAAAAAACCACTAACAATAGGTATTCTAAAACTGCCGAAAGAACACGAGAGTGGTTTTGGATTATCACGATACTATCCTACATTAGCCGATGTTAAACGATTCATAAGGATTCGTAATCCTTAACATTACAGCATCAAAAATTTAGTTTATGTATAAAAACTTAAAAGGGAAGTTATGTTAAAATAATTTAATGCTTGAAAGGTGAAAAAAAGGCTGATTGATACAGAAATAATTAAAATATTAATTCAAGGAAGTTTTATTTTATAGTTAACATATTATTTGTATAATTTGGTAACAGAAAGATACTATTTATGTGTTTATAATATTAATGGATTAATGGCCTCATCAGAGTTGAAACATCGGTAAATGTCAATAAACAAACCTTAAAACATAACCTGTGTTAAATGTTTGTTCCAATTTATTAATATTAATATTGTGATAGTATTAATGGATTAGGATTAATTTTCTCTTATCTGTAGCTGAATCATCAAGGTCTGCTGATGACAAACCTACATGTATTGACCCTCGTTGCTTTTGGTTCAAATCCCAGAAATGACGTTGAATGCTGTCATGCGAAAAAAGTCCATTTTGTATATTACCGTACATGTTTATCTCATAAGCTTGCTAAAAGATTAATTATCTAAATATTTGTGATTTTTTTTTATATATATACATTTATTTGTATTTTCTTTTCAGGATGTTGACTTTGTTGCCATTAGAACACCTGACAGCCACCTGAGGGCGATTTAAGGAGCATTTTGTAATGTTTGCGTCTGCTGGGATACATGTTTCCCGTGGATTACGCTATGGGGAGGCACGGCATGTTGGGCTGCATCATTTTAGCTCATCTATGGGCACATCTAGTCAGAGACCATTCAGAAAAGGCGTTGTGGTCACAACCGTGTCGGGACTGGTTTTGATTGTAGGAATAATGATTACCGTACTAGGTAAGTTAAATGACTCAGTTTGTTTTTCGTATTGTTTGTTGCGGTAGTTTACACTTTTACCATCTATATACTAATTAATATTTATGATAATTAACTTTTATCCCTAAGATTTTTTGAAACTAAGGAAGATTAATGCACAAATTGTATATGATTATTATTTTAAATTATGCAAAGCAGCATGATATAATATATGTGTTCCCTCAACATAATTATGTAACACTTCTTTTTGAATGTTTAGAAAAGAACTTTTTGGATGTTTAGAAAAGAAATGATTTTAAAATTTTACTGTATTAAATTTATTAGAGATTACCGGCATATATTGTATATGGGAGCCAATGCTGTAAATAGGTAGATTTGAACCTGTTTCGTAAAGGCCAGAAAAAAGAAAAAGGGACAAGATATTATAATATTGTTTTTTACCTCAAAAAAGTTCTCAGGGAGACTTTCTGTAGTTTTAAATGTTTTTAAACACACTTGATTTCATTAGAAATAAAAATTTAAATTCTATGAAAAAAAAAATATTTCTTTTGAGAAAATTATTAAACATGGAAACTTGATCAAAACTTATACTTAAATAACAGAAAATAGAGAAAATATGAATCCCTAAAGAAAGCACAAGGCAAAATTGAAAATGTTGCAGGCTCGGTTTGATTGAGCCTGTTCATGCAGGGTTAGCACAGGTCTTGAAAAGTGCTTGAAAATGTTCTCTGTCTTGTTAAAGTGCTTGAATTGAGGGTGTCCTTGAAAAAGTGCTTAAAAAGGGCTTGATTTTGAAAAAAAAATCCTTGAAAATCTCTGATTCTTGTAAAAATGAAAGTGATCATCAATTAACAAGGAAATTTAAACCATTTTTGTTCAAAATGGAAAGGAAAACTTTAACGAAAATTCTTTTTTTACCCATACTTATTTATGTTACGGATGTTTATGAGTACGAATAACAAATGTGTTCTATGTTATCGGTAAAAGTATACATGTGTACAATATCATCACTGTTTGCATTACCGGTTTTTACACGTATAAACAAATAGTAAACTTTGAAAATTATGGATAAAAAAGTCTAAGAATGGAAAAAATGTAAATTCTTGCTCAAGTTGCTTCAAGATTATCCATCAGTTATATAAAGCAATGTTTGAAATGCCCATTGCATAGTTTTGGATGTGTCAGACTGTCCTTAAAAATGCAAAATTTGCCTTGAAAAAGTCCTTGAAAAGTGCTTAAAGTTAGTGGACAGATTTCTGTTTGAATCCTGTCATGGACGGTACTGTCAACTGTCAAGTGCAAACTACCGTCCACACCCCCTAGCACCGGCTTAAGCAGAATTCAAGATTTAACATGAACTGGTACAATTTTGAATTTTGAAACATCCGCAGATGTGTTCGCATCTGACCGTAGAAAGGATTTCATGATCAATTAACGAAAGTGACCTGTGCCATCCGGGAATTGAACCCGGGTCACCCAATTCACAGATGTATCTGCAGAAACTCCGGTCCCCAGAAACACTTTTAAAACAAAATTACAATTTTAAATGTGATCTCTTCACTCTAAAACTAAGAAAACAGCATCAGTTTCCCAAAGGAATTGTTCTTCTTTTTGACTGGGGATATTATAAATCAATCTAGCTTTAAAGTACATTCCCATGATGCCATAAGGAATTATATGTTGCCTCACCACAGCACTTGTTAAATTAATATTGGATGTTAATAGAATGTCATTAAAACTTGTTGATTTCCCACTGTTGATTACCATACAAAGCAATGATACGTTTTATCCCAGGGGAAACACACAGGCAGTAAAATATATTTCCTTGCTTCTCTAGAATTTTATCGAGCTATTATTATCAATGAATTGACTGGAAATAGAATTTATTTTAGCAGAAGTCATGTAAGCTCACAATCTTTATATATTTCACTTTTATGACAAGGCTTATTAAGTTACTTTAAGCATGTGTACATGCAGAATTCATGGTGTCCTGTTTGGACCAGTTAAATTTTCATCTTTAATATGTCACTGTCTGAGAACTTTGCTTATGATCACTAGTACTGAAATAGAGCGTAGTTCTCTAAAAGAGACATGTAATCATCTAAATTAAAGGAACTCCACTCCATCATAGAGATAAACTAGAGCTTGTTATCTATGTAACTTGCCTTAATTATACAGAAAATAAATTCTTATTTTTACTAAAGTTACCAATTTACCATGAATAAATGGAAATTGTAAAACATCGAGTTGTTTTTTTTTGTCCTTGGGATGCACTTCTGTTCAAAAAGTTGCAGTCCTTTGACCAAAGTTTGCAATAGTCCAGTTAGCTCAATAGGTTAGTAGTTGGACTGTAAATTGGATGACCCGGGTTCAATTCCCAGACGGCGAAGGTCACTTTCGTTGTAATTGATCATGAAATCCTTTCTACGGTTATTCCCACTGTACCTCTGCTCTGTCATGTACAGAAGTAATCAGTTCCTTGTGAATGTGAAGACAACTAGTACTGGTAAACTGCCTGACATCTTGCCCAGGAACAATGCAGTGGCTGAACTGTGCTCTAGTGAATTCAATGTATCTGTAATGAAAACTACCAAAACCTCCACCACCAAATCTTGTGTCTCGGATGCATAAAATATGTGTGACGACGCAAGATTTATTCAAAATCTTGCATGTCAACATCATGTTCATTTTAGCTAGCCCAAACTCTCACAGGACACCGTAAACTTGTTTCACAAATGATTATGATAAGTTCTATTGTTTTTATGAAAAAAAAATTGTAAAATATATATTACACTCTGTATTTTTAGATATATACATCTTGGAAAGGGTTGACAAACTTCAAATGTCACACCTCATACTGAAAGTGTATTTCTAAGACCTGTAAGCATCTTTGTTAAAGTTTGCAAAAGAATGTTGAAGTTGAAGAATTAATTACATACAATGTTGCATAATTATTTTCAAAAATAAATCTAAATTAGAAATTAAGGTTCTATTTGTATCTTGGGGATAATTTCTTGTTATGTTAGGAATCTAAAGATATTAGATGGGTTATGAATACATGACTGGTGTAACTATAAATTACTGTTGTTAGGAAGTGTAAGTACCAATTATTTGTTGTTTATGATAGCCATATATTTCTGAAGTTGCATAATCCAGGACAAAATTTTCAGTAAACTTATTGTTATTATGTGGTTTTATAAACTTTTGTTTTCCTATTCTCATGTACAGACTGGAGACAGAATTCTGATTTATTTTTTTGTCTTTGTTTTGTGTGGTAATGCTTGTAAAATATTACTGGTATTAGCCAGTTACAGCCAGTCTGAATTGACCTCCTATGTAGGGAAATAAGGCAATAAATGAGAAAAATACTTGTTTAGAATATTTAAGCAACACTTGGCCTATTGTAATTGATACCTGTTAATCGGTACAGATATTATCATTCAAATATAAACATATGAGATGTGTTTACTCAGATTTCTACAAAACAGGGCATGTCATTTTAAAGGGTTGCTTGAATATAAGTAAACTTTTACCATGTTACCATATGTTGCCCTGCTTTGAGTTCAGATCTGTAACTTGAAAAATTTAGAAATTTTAGAAACAAAAGTACTAAAATTATACATGTATAAGCAGATAAATCTGGTCAAATTTTATGTATGGCAAAGGCAACTCAGGTAATAATTTGTGACTTTTAATACAATAAAGTTTCATGAATATTGAAAAAGGTATGTTAGGCCTAACCTCACTAAATTATAAAATATCATAATATTACTTATGTCCGTCTTTAAATTTCGACAAATCTATTAATCATTTTTAGGGAAAATTTCAAAATATGTACTGGCTGAATAACAAACAGTGAGCTCTGATCAGATGGCTGGGATGCTCCGGCTGAACATAGTCTCATGAGTAGATTCAGTTGCCATTGCCAACTAAGGGTTATAATTAATATTAATGAATTTGTGATGTTTTTAGATTAAGACATTATTCTCGTGTTCTTACGTACAGTTTTCTAGCAGTCCTGACAATAATACTTGATCCAACTTCTTCTTTTACTGTAAGGAAATAAAACACCACAAGAGCTGTCAGAAGTCAGGGTGCCCGACTTTTCTCATTGCTTGAGCCTGGACAATGTAAATTTTTTCTAAGTTCAAAAAGGACTATAATTCTGTCAAAATCCATGTAAGAGTAATGTGCCTTGGACAGTGACCTCCTATTATGCTCTCATATTAATGTGTTTGAAGTTTCAACACATTCTCATTCTTTAGAAAGCAGAAACAAGTTTGGTGACTTAAATTAAAAAGTTTTCATTCTTTTCCAGTTTTTTGAAAGTTAAAAATTGTTAAAAAAATTTAATTTGATATATAGAAACCAGTATTGTGTATGAAATAACACACATCTTGTCCTCAATTCTTAACTTTAACATGTCACCGACCTTTATTTTCTTAGACAAGTTCCTGAAATATGTCGCACTAAGTAATAGAATCAGATATTCCATCAGCACCTGGGTTCATAGAAGCCTTTCAAATGTAAGAACTAGTATTGAAGCATCAGAAATAAATGTAAGGAAATGGGAAATAATTAAAGCTAGACATTCTACTTCCAGTCAACATAAAGTGTTTGAAAAAAAAAACATCAGAAAGAACTTGTTAATTTTCAAGTTATTGCCAGTTTGTATGATGTTTTTTTTACCAGTTAATCCCAAATGGGAGAAAATGACACTGAGCAGTTAAATTCCAAATGGGGAAAATGACTGACCATCTAAACATAAATGAAAAAATAAAATAGAGCATTTTAATCCCAAATGGGAAAATGACTGAGCATTTAAACATGAATGAAAAAATGAAATAGAGCATTTAATCCCAAATGGGGAAAATGACACTGAGTAAGTTATCCCAAATGGGAAAAATGACACTGAGTAGTTAAATACTGAATGGGGAAAATGACACTGAGTAGTTATTCCCAAATGAGGAAAATGCAGTTCATACTGAATGGGGAAAATGACACTGAGCAGTTATTCCCAA